CTATGAGTAGGGTCACACTATGAGTAGGGTCACACTATGAGTAGGGTCACACTATGAGTAGGGTCACACTATGAGTAGGGTCACACTATGAGTAGAAAAAGACTCAACAACACTTAACAACAAGAATAACAGTGGAATCTACAGTACATTCAGATTATGATACAGACTAGCCTCTTCTAATCCTAAATTAATAAATAGGGGCAGGGGATGCATAAAAGGCTTTAGAAACATAAACTTCCAATTAATATCTTACTTTCTCCTTGAATGCATATCTTTATAATTCTTACATGAATAAACCTTTAAAATATAACATTAAATACATTTTATTAGCAAAAAGATATATAATTTTTATTCATTTTCTATAAAATCTAAAGTAATTCAATTGCAAAGAACAATTATTGGCCTGTCAAAATGTTCCTTTTGCTAGTAGTATCTTTTCATGAGGAATATAGTAACCACTTAGAAATCAATAATGTGATACATTATGAGTCCAAGACTTAGTGATTTTATCTCTAAAATATCTCTGGCATCGACTCCGTCTTCTTCACTTTCATACTCTAATTTAGGCTCCAATTGTACCTAGCGTCCTAATTTTCACTGCAGTTTCTGTGTCCACTTTCTACTCATAATCTTACCTACAAACTGTTTGTTGGCAGAGGAATCAAGTTACTTCCATAATCAAAAGTTTCCAGTGGTTCCCTAAAAGAGAAAACAAACCAGTTGCAGGTGAGTTGATTCAGACTCATGGTGACCCAATGTGTGTTAGAGTACACCTGTACTCCACAGGGTGACCCCATGTGTGATAGAGTACAACTGTACTCCACAGGGTTTTCAATGGCTGACATTTTGGAAGCCAGGTCTTTCTTCTGAGGTATCTCTGGATGCACTTCAAACTAAAACCTTCAGAGCACGATGATCATTTACACCACCCAGGGATTCACTAGCACTAAAACAGATCAGTGTCCAGCTTCAAACCAGAATTCTTTATCACTTGCCCATCGATTTCTGTTGTTGGTATCCTTATTTACTCAACTACTTTACATTCAAACTGAAACAGCTATTTTTGTGGTTCTAACTTCACATTTACAGAGCTCTGGTAGTGTAGTGGTTACAAATTGGGCTGCTAACCTTAAGGTTGGCAGTTCAAAACTACCAGCTGTTCCACAGGAGAAAGATGAGACTTTCTGCTCCCATTAAGATTTACAGCCTCGGAAACCCTGTGCAAGGTCACTATGAGTCGGAACCAACTCCATGGTACTTAACAACAACTTTACCTTTACAGTCCTAGTGTGGCACTGTGGGTCAATGCGCTGGACTGCAAAGTTAGTTTGAACCACAGAGTCGGAGGTTCAAGCTCACCAGCCGCTCCTCAGAAACCCTATATGGAATCACTATGAATCAGAACCAACTCAATGACATGTAACAACAACAACTCTACATTTAACTAGTAAACAAACTATGCATATTCTTCTTAGTGCCTCTAAAACTCATCACAACTTCTCCATTTCTAGTACATTAATCCTAATTCAAAGGTCTTATTG